TACCAAAACAAATTATACACCGTAAGAAATTGTTCCGAGTTATGGGAACAAAATTTGTTAATTCACTAATATGCCTTTCATATACATATACAGACAAATCGTTTGTTATTTTAAGTTATTCTTGGCAGACTGTTAAAAATTGTTTCAAGTTACATAATGTTTATACAAACTAAAATTACGTGGTAAAATATAGCACTTAAGAAAACCGTCTACCAATAAACTTTAAAAATATTATAGAGAATTGCCTTCTATGAAAATGAATGGCAGGCTGTAAAAAGTTGTTATTAGAAGCTGTTTCTGTTTTAGCAAACTAATGTTAATGTTTAAATATGTATTAATACGTTATCCATGTTATTTAATACAATTGTTCTGCAGCTTGTGGCTGTAAAGATGTTCCCTATTATTGGCAGACTGTAAAATATTGTTTCTTTTTTATGACTCTATCTTACTGTCTAATTGGGAAGCAATGAAAAGAAAGTTGAATATTTTTAGTGATGGTACTATTGGAGCCTTTTACTATAAGATTAACTTTCTTTGGTTTTTGCACCAAGTGAAATCTTCGAAGGTTCCATAATGGGTCATTCATTAATTTATTCAAAGTTTTTTATCATAATATTAAAGAAATTTACGATTAACACTACGGTCCATAGACATTTCTACTGCATCTTAGTGGTATGCTTTGCCACCAGACGGAGTATGAAGGGTCCCAATTAGGCACCGAGAAAATTAATGGTACAAAAATTTTTGTTCCGATTATGATCCCTAGCGAAGTATTCTGTTTCCGGGGCAGAGGACGTAACCGAATAGCCAACTACTGTACTTTATTCTTCCAACTGAATTTTTACGCACACACACCCAAAAATATGCATTTACAAATAAAAAATAATTATCAAACATTAATGTTAAATAAACTTAATTTTATCCCACTATACATTACCTCAAGTTGAAGAGGTAAAACTGTTTGTTGCTGCTGTCACAGCTTCGCCAAGAATTGAACCCGAAAACAAATCGTGTAGGTCAAGAACATCGCAAAGGTCTTTTTTTATTATCGTTAGGGCAACAATCCTCTCCTTTTTAATGATGGACTTGGTCGAATTTTTAACTTTTTCAAGTAGACTAAAAAACCGAAAAGCTCGCTGTAATATTAACTGACAAAGACAAAAAGCTTCCCCAATATCTGTTTTATATTTAGCAGCTAAATTCATGATGCCTTGCATAGAAGAGCATATATCAACTAATGTCTCTAACCGCGTAAGCTCTTAGAACTTGTAATCAGGTGGATACAGTAGAATCAATTTTTCGGTATTTTCATTTGTCTTTTTTTTTGTCTTAAATGTTTGTAAGAATATTTGATATTGAATTCAAATGTTCTACACCAAAAAGTTTGTAATTTTATCTTAAGGGCTTAAAAATTCTTTTCTATAAAAGATATTTATATCAAAGCTCGCTGCATTGGATTCACAGTTACAAAAAATTATCAGTTTTTGTCGGAAATATTCGTTTTCGGGGATGTCTGAAAATCCTGTTCTCGATTAATTTTAATTTTTCTAGCAGTTTTAGCACATCCTATTAAGTTACGATATACGTTTTCCTGTTGTTTTATTGAAATTAGGAATTATCTAGGTAGACCTGCGAGAGTTCAGTGAACACAGAACTAAAGACTGATATTATTTTTAGGTTCCAACAGTAAAACTTCCTTATTCACGGTTTCTTTATTCGCCGGTTAAAAAATTGCAACCCAGTTCTTGTATTCGCGGTTAAAAATTTCATTATTCGCGGATGCAATCGGTAAACAGAAAAGGATTCACTGTCGTTTATTAAGGGGATTGATCGCAATCGACCGCTCGTACCTAGCGTGAATTTTTCCGAAAACATGGGTTTCTATTCTAAATATTGTGATTTAACGCTGCAAGATAAATATCTGATTTTGTGTATGGTAACAGACAAAGATTCACACTAACTCGATACGTTCTTTTTTTCAATAATATCGTCATTAAAAGCTTTTACAAGTGCTTAAAGTTGATGCTTTTTGTAGGACACGTATTCTCAGTAGAAATTAAAAAAATTAAAAATGGCCTTCGACAAGCTTTAAAGCAAAGCTTTATCTATCTTACTACAAAATTTCAAACCCCTGTTCCAAATATTAAACTCATGATAATTAGAACCGATAAGCATGTTTTTACTCTACGGCGCGTGTACTACTGAATCCCCTTAATGTATCGGCATCTCTTGAGTATGTACAGTTGGTACGTACCGAGGCAGCTTTTATGAAAGATGTAACAGAGTAAACAGAAAAGGATTCGGTGTTATTTTTCAACGTATCGGCATCTTTTAAGTACTAGTTCAAAATTGGCATCAATAGTCGTCTTCTAGGGCAATTTTATGCTGTGTTACAGAAACTGTATGTGATTTAATAAAATTATGGTATAGGAATAAAGAACTAAAAAATCATTACCTAATGAAATAAATAAAGCATTTAATTAAACAAAAAAGAAAGCTCACCAACCTATACACATATGTATCTACCTATCTGGCAAATTAATAAGGATATTTGGTAAAACTAACCAGCAATATTTATTACACAATTTCGTTTCGATTGCCACAAACGAGCAACTAAGTTAATAATTAAGAGAATTATGCGTTTTTCATAATAGAAATCCTTCAAAAATGTCAAACATAATGAAGGTGTACAAAACCTACTTAATTCCATTTCACTTTTACAGTCGATTGAGAAATAAAAATGAGTGATATGTTTACGAGATAAAGCTAATTGGTATATTAAAGTTAACAAACAGAAATTTATTGCCTTGTAACTTTAAGTTTTGGGCAGATAAACATAATTTCGTAGATACAATATCTACAATATATTTCTTGTTATATAATACTAATAAATATAATTTGTAGTGGGTAATCTACATTAGTAATTAAAGATCTCTTTAGGTAGCAACATGGCGAATGGGCATGTATGAACAGTTAACATTTTTGATGTACTACCCAATAACCTAATTTAATGTTAAATTGTGAGTTTTGGTTAATTGAAATGCGTACTAAAAAATAAAATAACTAAAGGTAACTAAAATTTAATTTTTTCTGTTTTAGAATCTATAGTAAAGTAGAAACAAATATTACTTATTGCTTTAAAAGGTTAATGGTACTGGAGCATTTTGATGTTAATAATATTTTCTTCAGCAAAGACATGTACAGTGGTGTACAAAGAATTTCAGGTTAGGACAAAAAGAATTTCTAAATTAGAAGCATTCCTGATGTCAGATGGGGAGCTAGAAAAGGAGTTGGAATTTAATATAAGTTGGAAAACATGTACAAGTATTAGAAAAAGAAGACTTTTTACTCTTTGTAGAAAAACGTGAAATTCATATAATTGGGACGACGTAAGCAAATGGTCTTAAGATTTCTTAATAATTGCGGTGACTATGGATCAGAGAGACGGAAATATTATATGAAGCAACTTTAATATGTTTAGTTTATCCTCAAGCGGTAAGGCAGTGTGTGGTCTAGTGAAGAGCGCGACGTTTTATTATTTTTTCAACTTAAGAATGACATTAGTGATTAGTATTAGTGAAATTCATTAAACACCATACAAAGCTTCACTTCTAATGTAGTCAGTTTTGACTGATACCTATTTTTGGGTTTTTAGCTATATTAGCGTAATGGTACCTTCGGTTAGAATACAAAAGAATACTTTTCATGTAATGCAGAAAAAACTGTATGTAAAATAACATGGCAAAATGAAATGGTTTCAACATCGGATAAGTAAGAGTGCGGGACGACTGGTCACACTGCTAACGCTCGCTAAAAAGTTCGAGCTCTTGCAGCCAAGCATTTCGCAAGTATAATGTGTGCGTATAATGGTTTCAAAGAAAAGATACACGTGTTGAAAAAAATAAAAAAGTTTATTGTGTAACTCTCCTTATGACTAAAAGTACAGGGTGATTTTAGTTCTAGTGATATCAATTACTAAAATTCAGTGCTTCAGTGCTAGAATGTAAAGTGACACTAGTGGTCGAATTTTGACTACAGGTGATACTGCTACAATTAAATTATAAATTACTAGGTTTTAGCGACAGCTTCGTTTGCGTTGATGTCGTAAATATGTGTGAAAGATCATCGACGATCATATAAAACTAATTTATCTATTCTTCGATATATATATGTTAGCGGAGGGTGGAATTTATGTTGGCGAAGGGTGGAATTTCCCTGTTCGTAACCTGATTACATAAGGGCCATCTGGAAACGCACGCATAGACGCAAGATACATTTGCGCAACAGACACTTATCCTGCACCCTGCAGGGGCAAGGTGAAAAAGTCAGTCGTAGAAGGACGGATGTAAAAACTTGTATCTACTAAGTGTAAACGGGGTAGATATAAATTGTTAAAATTGAGTGTTGTTATTAGTTAATAGTTAGTCGTCCTAAAATCAACAAGAATAGTATCTTTACATCAGGAGTGGGATAGTTTTCCGCTGCCCTAGAAGTAAAAACAAAACCAAAATAAGTTACTAAAATGGCCAAAGAGAATCGTTCCTGTTTCGAAGGCGAAGATGCTGTAGTAGTGGAATCTGAAAGAGACGAGTCCTCATCACCAAGTCCCAAGAGACTGAAAGTACAATGGCAGGAAACGTTGATTAGTTTAAAAGCTACGCAACAGCAACAGCTCGCAGAGTTAACACGGCAATCAAAGATGGCAACTTCGGCGTCAGCGTCGCCAACGCCCAACGTTTCCGTAGCCGAAAGTTCAAACGCGCGATCGCTCGTAGCTAGTCACATGTACACATCGTTTAAATTGACGGACTACGATCCAGATAAGAGCGCATCCTTCATGGAGGAATGGCTGAGCGTTGCCCAAAGGCTCAAGGAAGAGTTGAATGCAAGCGATAATTTGATGATAGCAAAAGCCAGTGAAGCACTTAAAAATCGCGGTTATCGCTACTGCTGCGACTGGAGACCCCTGTGCCGCACTTGAGAAAACTTTTGTACTGACCTTACCGTTGCTTTTCCTGACCAAGAGACGCATATAAGGCCGCCACGTTGAGAAGCCGCGATTGTGACATATCGTGCGAATACTGGAATCAAAAACTGCGGAGCATTAGCAGATTCCATGATCAGCTGCCGTGGAACAACATATTGAGCATGATCGAATACGGTTTGCATAACGCAGAGGCACGTTCCACCCTGCATATACAAAAACCCAAGTCGCAACGCGAATTGTTGCAATTACTAGACGAATTCGATGCACGCTCTACCGAATCATCGCCGATAGAGAAGCTGCATTCACATCGATAACATTCCAAAACTTTCTTGCGGAAGCACGAATACGCATAGGAAGTAGCGCACGAAAGCAGACTCAGCGGTTTAACACAGTGAGACTTACTGCAAGATTGTTTGATGTGGGAGACCTGGTAACTGTGAACGATTCTCAGCTTGCTGGTGAAAGTAAATTGAAGTCTACGTATAAAGGTCCATATACTGCCCGAACCCTACTTCCGAACGAGAGGCATGCGTTGCAAAAACGAGGTGACAAAATTACTGTGGCTGCTCACGAACAATTAGGATGCTGGCCTTCCAGTCAGTAAAAGGGTATGTAATATTAAATAGTGTATAACTGCTATTTGAAGTAAGATATGAAGTTAAGTGCACGGTAGGGCGTGTACCTCGGAACTTCATACAAAAAAATAATGTTAATAAGTAAAATATGAAGTTAAGTGTACGGTAGGGCGTGTACCTCGGAACTTCATACAAAATAATAATGTTAATAAATAAAATATGAAGTTAAGTGCACGGTAGGGCGTGTACCTCGGAACTTCATGCAAAAAAATAATGTTAATAAGTAAAATATGAAGTTAAGTGTACGGTAGGGCGTGTACCTCGGAACTTCATACAAAAAAATAATGTTAATAAGTAAAATATGAAGTTAAGTGTACGGTAGGGCGTGTACCTCGGAACTTCATACAAAATAATAATGTTAATAAATAAAATATGAAGTTAAGTGCACGGTAGGGCGTGTACCTCGGAACTTCATGCAAAAAAATAATGTTAATAAGTAAAATATGAAGTTAAGTGTACGGTAGGGCGTGTACCTCGGAACTTCATACAAAAAAATAATGTTAATAAGTAAAATATGAAGTTAAGTGTACGGTAGGGCGTGTACCTCGGAACTTCATACAAAATAATAATGTTAATAAATAAAATATGAAGTTAAGTGCACGGTAGGGCGTGTACCTCTGAACTTCATGCAAAAAAATAATGTTAATAAGTAAAATATGAAGTTAAGTGTACGGTAGGGCGTGTACCTCGGAACTTCATACAAAAAAATNTTGAATACTTACTATTAAATAACTTACAATATTGCATTAATTTTGATTGGAAAACAAACACTTGTTAAAAGAATTGGAATTTGGGAATTATATCCACTTATGTCTCCAAGTATGTGACTCAGAAAACCTTAACCTTAGGTATATTTGAATAGGAGTATCCAGATATTTGGATAGCCAGATACTTAAAAAATTGAAAAATCAAATATTTGAATATTCAAAATTGTAAATTGGATATTTGAATAATTGAATACCTATTTAAGTTTCAAACAATTAGAATACAATTTCGAGACCCAAATTAGGTTTAGAGTGTTGGGGAGAGTAAAAACCATTGTTCCAGTCAAATGGTTGCCCCCTTAAAATGAAGAAATTCAATCGGCTATTATTTTTTTAATGTAATGAACGTTTTAAGATATTAAACAGAAACAATTGGTTTTTACATACAACAAATTAGAATTTAAATGTAAGTAATTGAGGTATAAAATAATATAATTAGATTATTACTTACACACATATATCCTGCTTATTATGTAATAGTTTTAGTTAGTTATATTCACCTATGGTCCACAGACTAAGCATTCGACTACATTCAGTCAAGAGGGACAGTTTAATTCTGCCTTTGCAACAAACTTTTTGATTGATTTCTTTTATCTAATATCTACTTTTGCATTCATATATTAATTGGTTAAATAACCTATATTATGGTTATTTTTGGTTATATTTTGGCTGTCACCGCCTCCAAAAATTACTGATTATAAATTGTAAAAGCATCAATGATTTCGTCGATTGTTCTGCAATGCACTATGCTTTGAAGAAATGAAAATATAATTTTCTACTTTTTGTGTTTTTGTACTTGTAGGTATAGTTTTGAAGTCGATTTTTGTTTTTTTTTCTAAAAATTAACCTGATTTTAACTGTGTATATATTTTTCATTTTTATTGATTTTTTCCGAAAGCACTGAATCGATTTTGATAAAATTTATATGGGACCACCTTTGAACCTGACCTACCAAACAAAAAAAAACATCAAACTCAAAAAACATACAGTCAAATTGAGAAGCTCCTACTTTTTTGAAGTCGGATAAAAAAATTAAGACTCCCGAAAATTCAAGACCAAGATCAAGGCCGAACGAACAAGACCAAGCCTAGAAAACAATATCGAACGAACAAGACCAAGGCTAAAACCAAGATCGAATATGCATGAACAAGACCAAATACAAAAAAAAGAAAATTTTTCACTGTTTGAGGGATCTACAAGAATGTCCTCAGAGTAAATGTTCTTTGTTCCTATGTCTGGAAAACATATGGTTGAAATATAGGGATAAACTATTTTTTCTTCTATACATTTCTTACTTCTTTCAGGTACTTTGTAGGTACTATTTTGTTCACTAATCGTAAAAGGTCAAATTATACTTTGGAGGAAGGATCAATGTATGCCTTGGAGGAAGGGTAAGTTCTCGATATTTCATAACTTCCACCATTATTGACACTATCTTCTTTAAAACTGATGACAAGCTCACTTGTATGACAGAAAATTTCAGCATTTAAGGCAATTATTGTGCCTTAGAAGAGATATTAAAGAATACGTACCTAAGTATCAGATTAAATGAGCAACAGCAAGACCAACAACAAGATAATATTAGCAACACTAAGACTAGAAGTATTTGAGCAAGAATAAGACCAATATCAAGAGTGGGACGTCTTGGCCTTGTTCTTGCTTTGCTCATCACTATGTTGCTGTAAAAAACTCGCCAATAATTACAAACAAAATAATGTAAATAATATTGGGGTCGTCGATAAAATACATCACTCAGAACTTCACCTTTTTGGAGCCCTCACCCATCCGTTGTCACGTAAGTTACACATTCAACGACCCCCCTTGACAAACGAATTCCCAAACACATTTCTTAAAACTCCTTCCCCCATTGTCATCTACCTCTTCCACCTCCCTATTTGTGAACGTATTTTATGAGCAACCCCACTGTATTTCTCTTAATTCTTAGTAATCGGAGTTGCTGTTAAAAGATAACATTGAAACACTTCTTGCACGTGATAATTTCAGTTTAAAATGCTGTACATTTTTCGGCTGCATTATTGATTTTAAAAATATCAAAATGGGATTTACCGCCCTGCATTATCGAAGCAAAGCGTCTTTCCAAAAATCATCAGAATACTCTTAGAATAAACCTGCAAATATCGCCTTGATGTTTAACTGTATGTTTAATAAACACTCTGTGTATAAGTGACTTCTTTATAATATCTATCATTTATGTCTTCCTCATTTTTACGGGCCTGAGAGTTCCATTCTTTAATTAGGCGTTTTAGCAATCGCTTAATTCCAAAAAGTCAGATTTCGATAGAAGAGTAAGTGCATAAATTATTATCAGAAGCGTAGATACGTAAAGGTCATCATCATAAGGTCTTTAGTGCTAAGACTGGTTCGAGACGCACCTCCACCTTTTCCTATCCTGAGCTGATCTTCGCATTTCCCTAAAACTAGAACAACCCACATCCTTAACTACTTGCAAACAATAATCTAATCTAGGTCTACCTCTACTCCTCTTAACTCCCGTTTCTGCTTCTAATATGTCTCTGACTAGACTTTCGTACCTGAGAAGGTGTCCTACTAACCTATCTCGTCTATTTCTTATTGGCTTCCATAGAGTGCTCTGTTCTCCTATTTTTTCTAATACCTCTTCATTTCTAACCTTTTCTACNTAGTAATCACTAATTTGGGTTTAAAAGAAATAGAGAAACGCTGGAGGTATACGGGTAACAATACAAAAAACGATAGAAAAAAGAAAAAGGGCATATATAGAATTTGTAGAAGTAAATATTAGGAAGGGAGTCAGGCAAAGATGGACACTGTCACCATTAGCTTTTAATCTATACATCGAAGACGCGATCAACATCATTTAAGACAGTACAACTGTACGATACGAAAAATTAGAAAAAGTGGCCGATTGCAGGTATCTAGGAAGTCAGATAAGCCAGGACGGAAGAAGTAGTAGGAATATAAAGTAGAGGATAGCGCAAGGGTTAATTTAGAAATTCGAAAAAGCTTGTTAAAGGTGTATGTTTGGAGAACGACACTGTACGGGTGCGAAACATGGACAGTGGGCGTAGCGGCAAAGAAAAGGTTGGAAGCGTGCGAAATGTGGTGTTACAGACGAATATAAAGTAACGTAAAAAAAAAATGGTATAATAAGTAACCTGCACAGTTGAAAGCACAGTCACGCATGTACTTCTGAAATTTCCAATTTCTTGTAATGTAATTATATTAATTTTCGTTGACAGAACAACCTGGAACAATTTAATGCGAGACTAGCTATAGGTGGTAGTTAGTGTTTGATATGTGATGTCAATTTTATGTTTAGTTTCGACCGCAATGATTAGTATGACGCTATGAATGTTTGAGAAATATAATTTTTGTGATTGTGCTATAAGAGAATTGAAAGCAGACTGAAGTACTATATGTCCTATTATTTTCGTAGTATACTTCACAATGGCCTAAATAAAAACGCATAATTAACTAGTAGTGTCTTACAACAAAAAGTCTGCTTCGCAATTTCTCTAAATTACAGAAGAAACGATAATACCACGTCGCGAGGGCGCTCCATTGCAGGATGGCCGTGTTAGCGGAGGGCGGAATTTATGTTGGCGAAGGGTGGAATTTCCCTGTTCGTAACCTGATTACATAAGGGCCATCTGGAAACGCACGCACAGGCGCAAGGTATATTTGCGTAACAGGCACTTATCCTGCACCCTGCAGGGGAAGGTGAAAAAGTTAGTCGTAGAAGGACGGATGTAAAAACTTGTATCTACTAAGTGTAAACGGGGTAGATATAAATTGTTAAAATTGAGTGTTGTTATTAGTTAATAGTTAGTCGTCCTAAAATCAACAAGAATAGTATCTTTACATATATATATTTGAATGAGAAAAACAAAANATCAAAAATTTAGACTACTTCTAGGTGACGGAAAATTGAAAATTAGCATCAAGGTATATCATTGGGTGAAAGTATACAAATGAAAAAATTTGAATAATACAAATTGTCGTTTTTGATAACATTATTGGTACGGCTACATTCAAGTAATAAATAACTTAATTTCTTATGCTTCTTATTTTACACGTACCTACATATTGTTTAACACCTCATTAAGGCGTTCAAAAATTGATAATGCATATGCTACATGTTTCTCATTATTTTTCATTCAAAGTACCTTGTCAAAAATTTATAATTAATGACTGTAGAATTCCATGACATTACACAGCTTGTTCAAGATTGTACTTCACATAAACGTGTTCCTTTAATGCTGAGCAACTTTTAGCGCAAACCAGAGGGTATCTTTAAAGTAGACACTTTTTGAAAGAGTATTCTCACATTGCGCCTTTTTTGTTTCAAAGTATCTAAAATAGGTGTAAAAGAATAACATACCTGTTTCTTATCAGAATGTTTGGAGTACAATTCCCGTATAAGGTCGTCAGGAGGACTCCTTTTTCTATTTTGTCCATTTTTGTCGGGCTGATTAGCCAGAGGACGTGTATTGGTTTGGGGACCCAGTTCTACAAGAAACTGGACATCGGCCCTGTCTCCCAGTCGGAATCCATACCCCAACCTAGAATCAGTTCCTTTTTTTATCGTTGGGATATTTGAATATATGATAGACAGTATCGATGGAACCTCATCCGGAACGATGAGGGCTTGGATATCTGAAATTAAAATTACAGATAACGTAATTTTAGTTTTTGGGCTCGAGTTGTAAGCATTATTCATAATCACAAGTACGTTTAACAGCTTTAATAACTTATAGTAATATATACAATCCTAATAAAATAATTCATTCAAATGGATCTTATTTATAAATGGTGCATCTCATTCACGAGGTCTCACAAGTTGTGTAGTTCTCGCAAAACTTGTAAAATTACGCTTTAATAAAGAACTTTCTAGTTTGTCTTTTATTCTTTTTTATGAAAAGGAGGTGCTTAAAAGGACTTGTTTATTGGGTTTCGAATATCCAATATGTCCGACTGGAGTCCAATCCATAATCGAGTTGGATACAGTCGTTAATTATACCTTTTGCAAGTAACGGCTATATTACTTATACCTTGAAGGTTAGGTTATGGGTGGGAGGGTTGCTTTTGATTAAATATCAATTCATGGTAACCCTCGCTAATACCGACTGACTACTTGTTTTCTTGGTTCAAGTTTTCTGCAGTTTCCTTCGATCATTTAGGGAATGCTGGGGCAGCAACGCTCCAAAGATAATATTTAACTTCTTTTCTGTCTCCATATCATTTCTCTTCATCTATCTACCTGTTTCTAAAAAGACATTGAGGAGGTTCTTCGGTTCTACCCTCTGGCTTTGCATCAGAATGTGTGTCGGAGTGACTTACTATCATAAAGCGTTAAACAAGAGATTCTAATGTCATCTAGAATATTAACAAATTTTAGGGTAGTGTTAGGACAATGGGGATCATACACTCCACTAGGAACAGAGGGGATATACAGAAGATTAAAATACCTTATTTTTTTTAATTACATCATCAAGATTATTTATATAAATGTAGACCTCGATATATTTAGTTGGTTGGGACAGTGTGAGTGGCGGACGACGGCAAAGTGGTTACAAAGGAGTGTTATTTGAAATATGAAAATTTCATCATCATCATCATAAGGTCGTCAGTCCCAAGACTGGTTGGACACGCACCTTCACTCTTTCCTATCCTGAGCTAAACTTCGCATTTCCCTAAAACTAGAACAACCCACACCCTTATTTGCAAACAGTAATATAACCGAGGTCTACCTCTACCCCTCCTAACTCCTGCTTCTGCCGCTAATATGTCTCTGACTAGACCTTCATGCCTAAGAAGGTGTCCTACCAACTTATCTCGTCTATTTTTTATTGATTTACATAGAGTTCTCTGTTCTCCTATTCTTTTTAATACCTCTTCATTTCTAACCTTTTCTACCCACGTTATCTTCATCATTCGCCTATAACACCACATTTCGAACGCTTCGCACCCGTATAACGCCGCGCTCGAAACATATACCTTTAACAACCTTTTTCGAATTTCTAAATTAACCGTTCGCGAGCATAGAAGTGACTTCTTTTTATTAAAGGCGGCACGACCCTGCGCTATCCCCTGCTTTATATCCCTACTACTCCTTCCATCCTGACTTCCTAGATATCTAAAATCAGCAACTTCTTTTAATTTTTCGTCTCCTATCTTTATATTCGCTCTTTGCCTACTTTTTCTTCCCTTGCATACCGGTATTTTAGTTTTACTTTTATTTATTTTCATACAGTACTGATTTGTCAGTACCTCTTCCATTTTATTTAAAGCTATCTCTAGGTCCTCCTTGCTAGATGCTAATATTGCTATATCATCTGCAAATCTAAGCATACTAATCTTTTGCCCTTGTATATCTATCCCTACAGTTGTACTGTCTTTAATGATGATGATTGCGTCTTCGATGTATACATTAAAAAGTAGCGGTGACAGTGTACATCCCTGACTGACTCCCTTCCTAATATTTACTTCTCTACGTTGCAGCCCCATCTCTATAACTGCCTGTTGCTCTTTATACAAAGTAGGTATCACTCTTCTATCTTTGTAACTCGTCACTACATTTTTAAGTATATTTAACATTTTGTCCAATTTAACATTGTCAAATGCTTTTTCCTAAATCCACAAATCCTATGTACGCGCTCTTTCCTTCTTCTATCGTTTCCTCTATTGTTACACGTAAAGCTAGAATGGCCTCCCGCGTTCCCCTATTTCTCCTAAACCCAAATTCTTCTTCCGCCCTTTTTTCCATCCTCCTCTGTACAATTCTAGTTAAGATTTTTGACGCATGGGAAGTTAAGCTAATTGTTTGAAATGTCTCGCACCTATCCGCGCCCCTCTTTTTAGGTAATGTTACTACTACGTTCAGTTTATAATCCTCTGGGACTTTCCCCGTCTCGTAAATGTGACTAACTAGCTTAACATTTCTAACCTTTTGTCCTGAATGTTTTAGAATTTCCCCGTGTATCCCATCTGCATCTGGCGCCTTATTATTCTTTAAGTTTTTTAATGCTACATGGAACACTTCTCTCATTATGGGATAACCAAGCTCATCTATCTCCACACTATCTTCCTTCTCTAATATACCTCCTAACTCAGGGCCTGCGTAAAGGTTCTCTCAATACTCTTTCCACCTATTTGCCTTTTCTTCATTTTCTATCAAAATGACCCCTGCCTCGTTTCTTATATTATTACTACTGTATCCTTGAATGAAAATTTATATAATTTAATTTCAAAGTGAAAATCAATTAGTAACCTTAAATGTTACCTTGATATTCTCCTTCGAGTTTATTTAAAGGTCAAATAATCTATTTCAGTGGAATACATAAATTTTGACTTCCGCAATGGAATGGTCGGGAAATTTAATAATCGGAAATCCCTTTGAAGCTGTCTTACTCTCAATTTTTCATATTCCGAATGCCACTTGCATTGCAGTAGACAGTATTTGTCAATTTCACTTCAATTTGCTATCCCTTTTATTTCAGCTTACGTGTCCGTCTTTCTTTAATCCAACTAAATAAAGAGGCGAGATTATTCTTTTGTAAATTTTTAAGTTTTCTATCTCGATGATGCTCTTAAAAGAAAGAAATAAGTGGCTTACACCCTCTGCGTCTACTCCCAAAATATTTCTTAACTTCTACAACCGTTTAAGCTTGATTTTCACTATGCGAAAGTTGATGGCCAACAACCGCCCGTCATATGCCCTTCAGTTTTATGTTGTAGTCTCATTATGTAACAATGACCGTCAGCTTTTCGCCAATTTTTTGGATAGATAGCACGTTTTCGTCACGAAGTTTAAAAACTACTACTCTTTTACTGGAAGAAGACAACAGGGAGATGATAAAGAAAAGGAAAACAAGTAAAGCGGAAATATAAAGCCTTTTTCCATATTTTTTCTTTTGTATTGCTGTCACTATAATGTTTTTGGTTTAAATTATATAAACACTTAAAAGTTTGTTCTAAAAGAATTAATTTTTTGTATTTTTACCTAATAAAATCACATATTTGCTGGTTACTAACAGGTTATATAAATTACTTCAAGGTAATGAGGAAAAATTGTTGCTGTTGTCAAAGGTGGCGGGTTTGATGGCCGGCGTAGGTGTCACAACAGCAACAATTTTCCCTCATTAATTTGAGGTAATTTATAGTGGATATTGGATAAAAAAAAAGATGGATTGAATGTATTCTACAAATCCAGGAACGACCGTCTCAAGCAGACAACGTCACGTCATTGTTTTTCAGAAGATCTCGTGTCGAACTTGACTCTAACCTGACTACTTAAAAATGGATGGCATGTGGAAGTCTGGATCCAATTCAACCACATTAGTTTTTATATAGTGTAGTGAATATTATTTTCGAGCGAATAATTAGTTGCTAATATGTGGACATTAATGTCATGGGAAAACCTAAATAAGTACCAATTAATGCATTCGCAACACCATTTAAAATGTAACACAATAACAAAGTAGTTGTTCAATATCTGAATTTTTATAAATGCATGACTCTGAATAATCAAATATTTAAATATCCAAATATTAAATTTTCAATTCAAATATGAATATCTGAAATCTTGATATATTATATGATGATTTGAATACTTACTATTAAATAACTTACAATATTGCATTAATTTTGATTGGAAAACAAACACTTGTTAAAAGAATTGGAATTTGGGAATTATATCCACTTATGTCTCCAAGTATGTGACTCAGAAAACCTTAACCTTAGGTATATTTGAATAGGAGTATCCAGATATTTGGATAGCCAGATACTTAAAAAATTGAAAAATCAAATATTTGAATATTCAAAATTGTAAATTGGATATTTGAATAATTGAATACCTATTTAAGTTTCAAACAATTAGAATACAATTTCGAGACCCAAATTAGGTTTAGAGTGTTGGGGAGAGTAAAAACCATTGTTCCAGTCAAATGGTTGCCCCCTTAAAATGAAGAAATTCAATCGGCTATTATTTTTTTAATGTAATGAACGTTTTAAGATATTAAACAGAAACAATTGGTTTTTACATACAACAAATTAGAATTTAAATGTAAGTAATTGAGGTATAAAATAATATAATTAGATTATTACTTACACACATATATCCTGCTTATTATGTAATAGTTTTAGTTAGTTATATTCACCTATGGTCCACAGACTAAGCATTCGACTACATTCAGTCAAGAGGGACAGTTTAATTCTGCCTTTGCAACAAACTTTTTGATTGATTTCTTTTATCTAATATCTACTTTTGCATTCATATATTAATTGGTTAAATAACCTATATTATGGTTATTTTTGGTTATATTTTGGCTGTCACCGCCTCCAAAAATTACTGATTATAAATTGTAAAAGCATCAATGATTTCGTCGATTGTTCTGCAATGCACTATGCTTTGAAGAAATGAAAATATAATTTTCTACTTTTTGTGTTTTTGTACTTGTAGGTATAGTTTTGAAGTCGATTTTTGTTTTTTTTTCTAAAAATTAACCTGATTTTAACTGTGTATATATTTTTCATTTTTATTGATTTTTTCCGAAAGCACTGAATCGATTTTGATAAAATTTATATGGGACCACCTTTGAACCTGACCTACCAAACAAAAAAAAACATCAAACTCAAAAAACATACAGTCAAATTGA